GCCCCGAACATTATTCAGAACAGAACTTGACAGGAAAGACGCTCTCAAGAGAAGCGAACTAAATCTTTCAATGCGAACGCTTGCAAACTCGCCAGCGCTGCAACCTTAGAGGTACTCTTGTGAAACTCGTCAACGAAGGACCCTGCAACGATCGCGCATATGAGGACGGGGACTGAGGATGACAACAGGCCGAAGTCCGCACACGCGGGGCCATGGGTTTGTCGTCGCCCTCATCCTCCCAGGCCTCATGAGCTCGTTCGTTGCAGGGTCAAGGAACAGAGGCTGTAATTCAACATGATGTTACTCACGTAAGTCCTGCCACTGAGGCCTTGTGTCTGCGCGCCCTGGACCCCACACAGAATTGAATTCCGACAAAACACGCCGATTCCACACCATCCTGTGAGCAGTGTTGCAGACCTTGGCCAACCAACGATTCATGCCTTCCTCACTCCAGCACCCCCAGGCGCTGGGAGTGCCAAACCTCGGGATCAAATGACCCATGTGTATCAATTGATGACGTTTAGGCTTAGCATGTAAACCGAGGCCGTCACATGCCCTGCAGTAAGTTTTCACAGAGTCGACAAAGGCCACCACATCCTGAATTGGAAAGGCCCCAGTCTTTCTGCTTCGAATCAAAGTCAAGATGTTCCAGAGAGCACCACCGGCTGCCAACAGATCGGGGGCGTCGGGAAGACGCGCGCTGAATTTGGGCAGGAGTTCGAACAGAGTGAACTCCAGAGCATAATTTGCTTCTCCCCCATGCATTCCCATGTCGCCCTCCCGATCCTTGAACATGCCGACGGTGAGGTCCTGCACGCAAGTGATGTTCCTACCCTGGATGCGCTGCTGGCCGTACCAAGCGAACAGAAGAGCTTTCACGTTCCTGACGAACTCTTGTTTTCGAGAATGCCAAGTTGTGCTCTGGCTTGCAAAAACGTTTGCCTCCAACAAACTGCACCAACAACGGCTGATCCAGAACTGGAACTCCCCCAAGGAAAGGCCATGTAGCCAATCTGGCACGATGATGTCTGGCGTAATCCCAGTAGTGTCCGAGAACAAAGGGGACTGATGCCTCACACATGTTTCAGAACTTCTCCTCCAGAAAACTACTTCGAAGGGCTTTGGCAACGTGTCGAAATGGACGAGGCAATGCATATCTTTCGACGGCTCTAGCCTGTCTCCTTTCAGAAGCCCTAGTGGTGGGAAATCCACAGTGAGGGCCCTGCCATGTGCTCCGTCTTTCCTCTTGTCGTATTTCAGGCGAGCTCGAAGCGACGCAAAGTTCTCGTCTGTAACTAAAACTTTGTGCTGGCAACTGCTGGCTGCTGCGAGATAACCATCAATGGTCTTTTCAGCCCAAGGTGAACTGAACGGGCTGAGGCCTGCGATAGAACCTCGATTCGCTAAAGTCGAATCGCACCTCGGGCATCCAGCAGTCGCATGTGAGACTCCTGGCAGGCCCAGCGAGCCACTGAGTTCGGCCAAGTCACACTTCAAGAACACCACAGCGATACGGAAGCCCAGATCCTGCCCAGCGAAGGCTTGTCGGTCAGCGTCTGAAGGTAGCCAGGGTTTACGATCGTGCCTTTCAAGCGGCCTGACGCCCCTGGCAGCGTTCTCGAGATCCCAACTTATAACAGCTCGGGTTGCAAAATGACTGCACCAGCCACGGCAACCGCATGAGCACACATCACCTTTTCGCTGCACCGCCACGCAATGTGTGGCCTGTGTTAGCAAATTCGTAAGGTAATATGTTGAAGCGCCATCCGCTCTGCTAAACGGCACGCCGTCTGCGTACAATGTGCACGGGATACACGGCGCATCAGGCGGCGCATTCACCACAACTGTATGCGTATGAAAATGGAAGGGGAAAGCAACACATATCCAGTTCTCCTGGCCCTCCTCCCCCCCTCTCCCCCCCATCGCCCTCGATAAAAAATGAAGGGAGGAGGAGGGAGGAGGAGGCCCAAGAGAGCTGATCTGTTTTGCTTTCCTCATCCCAGATAGGAGGGCGGGACTTCACCGTCTGCGATATGTTGTCGAAGCTTCGAGATCAAATCTGGATCTCGCTTCGGTTCCAGGCCGATCGCATCTGAAGGCAGAACTATTGGCGTCCATTCTGTGCCATGTGTGCTCTCACCCCGCGCGTGACAGGGAATCTCAGCCTCGTATGCACCATTCATGTCTTTACCAGCACTGACAGCCGCATCAAAGTGACGGGAAAATCCTTGAGACGAAGGGTCTTTGGCGAGTTTTTCAAGTGGCCCTCTGAGCCCTGATCGTGCGCACCACCAAGCAAGACAACATGCCTGCCTGGCACTAATGAACTGAGACCTCTTGAGAAACACAATGTATTGCGCCAGTTGCTCGATCGCCTCATCTACTGAATCTGACAAATCTGGCGCGACCCATGGATCATCACCATCCTGACCCCAAGGGTCTGAAATCCATTCCTCACGATGTCGTTTCGGCATGTTTATTTGGGGAAGCAACCAGCTTGAGGCAAAATGCCTATTGTTTCCGTTTTAATGGCGTTTGTGGTGATGCACATTGTGAATATACATACACACACGCACACGTATTTCACGTGACGCACGCACACACGGGTGTACTTGCAGTTTGTCGGCACCACGCACGCTTCCCGCATCCCCACCATGGCAGCCCATCCAGAGTATATTGATTGGCTAGATGCCCTGATTCGATGCCCGTCATTGGCTCGATCATTTGTTGAATGATACAACACAAGGTCTTCGTGCTCATCATTCTCGGGGTTTCTTGGCACTGGTGCTTGGGACCATCCCGAGGCGGAAGTTGACGAGAGAAAGGATAACATCGTACAGCGAAAGATCTAGCATTGTTATTTCGGATCCACAACTGAAGCGTTGTTTGACACATTGGCGCTTTCTTGGGGAGCTCTCTGAGATCTTTGGAAGCAGGCTGGGGGAGAGCGAGGGCGGGGCGTAGGTGGTGGACTTGGGCTACCTGGGAGCGCTCTTGGGCGTCTCTCGGGCTCTCGGTAGATCGTGCGTGGGCCTTCTTTCTGGACCCCCTCTTACAGCTTTCGTAGGCCACCGTGAAAGAAAATTGAGGCCAATCGGAAGAGAAAAAGCGAGAATGCAACTAACTTTTGAAATGCTCAAGGTGAGGGGAGAGGACTTTCGGTGGCTGGAAGGTTACTCGGACCCGTCCTGGCACTGTCTTGGAGACCTCTTGGAGCCGCGTTGGAAGCTACCTCACAACAGCTTGAAGTACACGGGGAATGTTGTAACATATTGTTGGCTTTCTGGGACCCCCACCTTGGAAACGTCTTGGGCCAAGACAGAGCCTCTGCCACCTCGCGCTTCCTCTCAACTCCAGGCCGACCCGAGGGGGTTGGAGGAGACGCCCTTGCCCCGACAAGTTGATGTGGCGATTTGGCAGGTGGATGCCAACAGGGCCTCGCCCTCGGACAGCAAACGGATGCGCTCCAAGTGGCGCGGGCCGTGCTATGGCACGGCCCCTGGAGCACGACCCCTGACACATCCCTGAAACATCCCGATTGCACGGCCCCTGGACCACGGCCCCTGAAACATCCCGATGGGGCCCTCGGGCTCGCGACCGCTCGCAATACCCAGACTCTGCGCTTGCTCCTGTTCCTCGGGATGCGGGGAGATCAGGGTGAGAAACGGTGGAAGGCGAGAAGTTGGCAGGTGGGGGAGAGGGGGGGGGGGGCATGAGGATGACAAAAGGAGAAAAGGAGGGGGGGAATGGGGACAACAGGCGAATGACAGAGCCGCCCACACACCAGGGGGCTTGGGCTCAGTCTGGCAGGGGGGGGATGTGACTTAGATGGGGTCCATGCTAACGCAGAGTTAGCTAGGCCACTAGCTGGGCCGATGTATGCTTCTGGCACGGGGGCCAGAGAGCTATCGGTTCAGCTGGTGGTTTCAACAAGTTTGGACTCCATTTAGGTCACATCACTCTCCCACCCTCATCTTCTCGCCCGTGAGCCTCGCTTCGTCCTCACATCAAAAAAGAAGGCTGGGGTCAGTGAGGGCAACAGGACAGGGCGCACGCAATGCATCAGCAGACCTTTCGATCTGGAGTGCCTCGAACTTCAACAGGTGGGGTGTCGGAGATCAGAACGTTCGGACGTCTTGGGAATCCTGCTGTATTCCTCATGTTTTTTTCAGGAAACGCTCACGCAATCTTCGCAAACCCCAATTGCTTAAGCAGCAACGCTTCTAAATCCATCCAGCTCTGAGCGGCAAGGTCTGGACTGCTGGCTGAGTTGGCATAACTGTTCGAAATACTTCACGCTAGCGAAAAGAGGGCGAGGAGGGGGAGACTAGATCCCACTCACTCCTTCATCCTCATCCTCACCCTCCTCGCCCTCCGTGCCCTATTCGTCATGCTTATTCCGTTGTTCACGCGCTCGTGACGTATGTATGTCAGGTGATGTTGCTTTGATCGTCAACATATCGTAAAAGTAGCTTATCTTTGGTGAGCGCATTTTCCATTTTGAGTTTTAACGAGTTTCAAAAGTTTCAAATTCTGACCCTGAGTTTCAAGAAGTTTCAAAAGTGGTGTTTTCCCTGATACATTCATCAAAAACAGCTAGTTGTTGAAACTCGTTGAAACTAAGTTTCACAGAGTTTCAACAGAGTTTTAAACCACGATGTTCTGAAAATGTTCAGTCGGGATAGGCAAAGCCTCGAACGTTCATGTAAGATGTATCTCAACATAGACATGAGTAGTACATTAACAAACTATGGACGTCTGCTGACCTCCGCCAGCCCCTGACCTCAGTTGAAGCAAGAAAATCCTTGACTGTTCATGCAAGATGTATCTTAACATATAGATGTGTAGGACATTGCCAATATATGTAGGTCTTCTGACCTCCGCCAGCCCCTGACCGACCTTGCTCGCAGAAAACACGCCTACCTCTAAATAGTGCGTTGCACTTAGAGGATCAGGCATCCCGTAGGCTGGATGGGGCACGGGCGAATGGCAGGCTGAAATCACTTTCGGGTAGGCTTCCTCGAGGCGTGCATCCTCTTGAGGTTCGAGGTCTCCGTGGCCAGAGCCTCACACAACTCCACGAACTCATCCTTCTTGGCGAGCGCGAGTCTGATCTCGCTCGGCTTGTAGTTCGTCCTGGCATACTTCGGAAAGTCGTCCTGGATCATCACGTCACTCCAGAACTGCGAGGTGGCCTTGAACGTCTCGAGCTTGTCGCGCGCATCACGCATAGGTTTGAGGAACGACTCGTTGTTCATGTACTCCCACGTCTTGTTCGACGCGATGACCGTCATAAGCTCGGAGCAGTCCTGGCGCGCCTGGGCGACGGAGACCTTGAGCTTGCTCAGGGCTGCCAGGTCTTTCAGCAGGCTCTTGAGGGCCAGCTTCTGCTCAGGGGTCAGCTGCTTCTTAGCCTTGCCTCTCTCCCCAGGCGTCGTCTCGATGTCGTCGAGACCTGCCATGGGATCAGCGCCCTCGATCGGCACCCGTACGTGAGCTGCGCATCCAGGAACATGTCCAGCGGCTGCAGGAGGGCCTCCAGGAACAACTCCAACGCCTCCACTAGCTGCAGCTGCGCCTTCATCAGCATCTTCGAGATGGCAGTGAGATTCGTAGCCCCAGACCTCCTTGTCGTTCAGCTCCACGGACTCCTCCGTCACCAGGAACTCGGGGTACTTCTTCTGGTTGTTGATTCGCAACCACGGCCTGCCATACAGGCTGCGGCCCTTGCTGTGGAGCTCCCAGCACGATTGCAGCACGTTGCACGCCACGTCAAACCCGATGGCGTCCTTGCCCTCCTCAGCCCAGATCATCCCGAAGGTCTTGTACTTCCCTTTCACCTGTCCGAGCAACTCCTGCGTGTGCATGTGGATCCGCTCCTTCTTCATTTTGTCAGCCTCCTTGTTCGCCCACTTCAGGCGGAACGCTCTCTGGGCCGCGTGCACCTTGCCGACGGCCTTGTAGGCCGCGGCCAGTGTCGGATCATTTCGCTTCGCATCGTTCCACAACTTGCCGAGCTTCGACGACATGTCGGTCGCGAAGTTCCCATTCGCGACCGCCGAGGACAAGAGCGACTCGGCCTCACTCGGAGCAGGCGTGTCCCTGTCCTCTTCAGGCCCCTTGGGCGCCACATCTGAGCCGAACGCCTTCATCATCTCAGCCGAGAGGATGCTGTTGATGTTTTTCTTGGCGCCCTCTTGGTCCCAGGCCGTCTTGAAGGGCTGCAACAATGACGCCAACGTGCTAAAGTCGGTCGACGTGCCGCCTGACTTCGGAACCTCCGATACAGTTATCTCTGGTGCGACCTCGGGCGTCGCCTTCGCCTTGCGGCGGCGCTTCATGGGTGGCACAACCATCTCAGCGGGAACTGCCTTCGAGGCGGACATACATATATGTGGTGAGCTCAGCCTCGCCCTGCGCGTGATTCACTCTTGAACCGAAGGTGCTAGGGCGACCCAAGACGCGCTCAAGACATCCCAAGACGGCTTCAGTACGGATGCATGTGTTTACGTTGTGTTGATGTGTTTTGTTTTGTTTTTTTCTGCTCTGGATGCACGCACGCGCGTGGTGCCGAATGTTTTTCTAGTTGGTTTGCACCACACGCACACACACACACATACGTGAACGCTATGATGGTGGCCGACCTCAATATTGCTTTGACTTAGATGGCACTCTGGAGGTCCTAAATTTGGATACCTTGGGTGAGGGCCCTAGGGTCTGAGGCGGCATGTCGCGGGCAACCCAGTTCCCCTCGACTCGCGAAGGAAAGCGCCAAGGTGTGGCCCTCGAGGGGGGGCTTCCTCATCTAATGCTCTCGCCGTACTTGTCGGCACTCGCACTCACGAGAGATGAGGGAGACGAGGGGGAGGAGGAGGAGGAGGAGGATGAGGAGGAGGAGGAGGAGGAGGAGGAGGAGGAGGATGTGGAGAGGAGGAGGAGGAGGACGAAGGAGGAGGAGGTCGAGGAGGAGGATGAGGACACGAGGAGGGGGAGGAGGAGGGAGGAGAAGGAGAACGAGGAGGAGGAGGAGGAGGAGGGAGGAGGAGGATGAGGAGGAGGAGGAGGAGGAGGAGCAGGATCGAGGAGGAGGAGGATCCTCGAGGAGGATCAACTTCGCGGCATGTTTTCGCCACTGAATCCAGGGCCAGCTCCAGCGACATCCGCTGGAGCAGAGTTCCCCCGAACATCTGCACTCGCCCCACAATCACACGATTGCGTTCGCAGAAGAATCGAAACTCCAATGTGTTTGATGTCAGTTTTCGAACCTCGACATCCAGGCGGGCCCTCGGTTATCCTCAACAAGGGGTTTTCAATCAGGAAGCTTCTACAGATAATGTTAACCAGGAAGCGTCAACAAACAGCCCAGGGAAGGTACCTCAAACACTTTGGAGCTTCGGGCTGGGAGCTGAACTACCCGAGGAGGAGCAGCACGGAGATGTCGTCGTCCTCCCTGATCTCGATCACGCCGTCGACCTCGGGCAAGCGGGGTGGGAGAGAGATGATGATGATGAGGAGGAGGAGGAGGAGGAGGAGGAAGGAGGGGGAGGAGGAGGAGGAGGAGGAGGGGCAGGGAGGAGGGGGAGGAGGAGGAGGAGGAGAAGGATGAGGAGGAGGAGGGGGAGGAGGAGCAGGAGGGGGAGGAGGAGGAGCAGAGGGAGGAGGAGGAGGAGGAGGAGGAGGAAGAGGCGGATGATGATGATGATGATGATGATGATGATGGTGATGATGATGATGATGATGATGATGATGATGATGAGGAGGAGGAGGAGGAGGAGGAGGAGGATGGATGAGGAGGAGGATGACGAGGAGGGACGGCAGCCGCAGCAGGAGCAGGAGCAGGAGCAGATGCAAGAACAGACGCGGAAAACAAGTCAGAACGGTAATGATGAGAGCACCTGTGGACGGAGGTGGGAGAAGGAGGAGGAGGAGAACATTGAGAAGGAACCGAAAGAGAAGGAGCCTCGAGGAGGAGGAGGAGGAGGAGGAGGAGGAGGAGGAGGAGGAGGGGGAGGGGGAGGAGGAGGAGGAGGAGGAGGAGGATAGTGATGCGACATCGCGAGCCTCAAGGGTGATCGTCGACAGCTTCGAGATCGGCCATGTTGGCGACGTCGGCCTCGGACAATGGGGCTCGATCACCCACCCACCCAACCACCCACCACCCACCCACCACCACCCAACACCCACCACCACCAACCACCCACCACACCACCCGCACCCACCCACCACCCACCACCACCCACCACCCACCCACCACCCACCCACCCACCCACCACCACCCACCCACCCACCAACCACCCACGACCCACCCGAGGAGGAGGATGATGATGATGATGATGAAGCGCCTTGAAAGGTCGGTTCTCCCAAAACACAAACCTGAGAAGCCACCAATACGCCAAATGCGTACGGTAGAGAAAGAGGGAGGCGGGAGGAGAGGCGGTAGAAAGATGAAGCAGAAGAAAGGTGAAGCCCAGCCCAGGATTGAAACCCATGATACTGAAAGAAATCATGAATGATAGATTGTCCGATGTCCCAAATAAATCCCACCACAAGGTCTCTCTTGCTTTGAATGAAGAAGAGAAAAATGAGAAACGTAATGCAAGATAAAGGAGTATGCTCAAATTGATCAACAATCTTGAGTGGCTTGAGTAGCTCTTGAAGCCAATCTTGGGGGCATAAGGTCCCAAGGTCTGAAGTAAGCAAGAAGTAAAGAAATCTTTCATTGAGTCCCATGAAACCCATTGAACATAAGTAGCAACCAAGACGGATATATGTACTGAACGAAAGTCTAAAATAGAAACTGAATGTCCCAAGCACGCAATGAACCCAGAAGATACGGAGGCATACAAAATGGAATGTCAAAGCCGAGTGAGAACTCAACCGTGACAGCCCACCCCAGGCATATCAAGACCAATGGAGTATGGTTGAATTCAAACAAGTATGGAGGGCGCAAGATGGACCTGTTTATAACCTTTTGTATTTTGCCAACCAACAACGTTGAAGAACATGCATAAGAGATTGAGGGATACTGAGAGTCCTCCAAAAGCCGCAGGCCCATGCACCGCAGACGCCAGGGGATTCAGTCTGTCGGAGTCCCAGGAATTGCATTCACGGGTACTTCCAGCGCCACTTTTCCACAAAGAAGTCTCCGTCCCACCAGTAGTCAGATAGGTACCATACCACTGGGTGAGGCCAGCCCGATTCGGGGTCGAACCACGTGTCATAGTACTCCGTATACCAGACTTTGGTGTAGACTTTTTCCTCTTCACAGTAGTTCCACATTCCTCCTGAGCCGTGTGTCCACTTGAGACGCTTCTTGGCGGCTAGCTTGACTGGAAGGCTGCGTTTGGCCATCCCCTGGAATTGGATATGGATGTGGATGTTTCCCAGCCGTCTCGGACGAGAGTTCCCGTCAGCATTTGAGGCGAAACGGCTACTGACCAGCAGCCAGTTCTTTCCAAGGAACTCTCCGAACCCTTTCGTCGGGACCCCGAACGTTGACATACAGTCCCTTAAAGCCGCTGTCCCGACAAGCTTTGAAAAGCGGGATTTTGCACCAGTCATAAGTGAAATGAGGACCACCAAGGTCCGATGGTACAAGAAACCGAGCTGGCAACTTGACCACCCTTTGGAATAGCAGCGTAGAGCAGTATGAGAGTGCCGCAAGATCTTGTTTAGACAGGAAGCAGACTTTGCGTTTAGACCTGCAAAGCTTCCCCTGAAAGATAACGTGAGGGTCCGATGCCTTGGGAAGTAGCATACTGAAAGCTTGAGCCCGAGACTGCAGGAGCCGACAGGAGGCAAGGGAAGGGGAGGGGGGGCCACCCCCCCAAACCCCAAGAGAGGAGAACAGACTCGAGTCCCAGAACACGGAGGCATCCTGAGGAAGGATGGATTGTTGCGAAGCCACGGTGTCCCTAAGATCGCATGGACCAGGCGGGTCCCAGATAGAATCGCACAAGTGACATCTCCTGGTGTCAGCCAATCCCCTAGGTGGGAGGCAAAGAGAGGAGAGGAGGACACAAATAGGTCTCGATACAGACCCAAATGCAAATTCCGTGGGGCGTCAAATACCCCGCTCCATTAGTATTGGAGCCTGTTCTCTGAGGCCGCAATTAGGTAAGATACCCAGACCTCTGAAGATTCCGTGACATTAAATTTGTGCACTTGCATTCCGTGAAACATTGCCACGGCAAACTTCCGAGTGTGAGGTGCACATGGGCCGCGAAAAAGGCGACGGTCTTTCCCGGTCCTAGCAAAAGACCCATGTTGATCAGCAAACGTCAAAATAGACCGAATGGAGCAGATGATAGGAGAAATCCCCTGAATAATGTTCCAGAACTGATCTGGTTCAACATACCCCGCTCCCAGCCCTAACTCCATCAAATCTCCAATAAGCTCTAGCCATCGAGAAGTGTCGGGTTCCCTGTTCCACCGCTCTCGGACCATCCTCTGTACATCGGTGACACGACCAGCAACTGAGCGAAGCTCCTCCATGGACTTGGACGAGGCACTGGTAGGTTGTCGTCTTTGAAGATACCTGGCCATTTGACCCCAAATATTCCACCAGACAGTGTAGATGAAATTCCCAGGATCTGACCAGCGGTTGTCGTAGAACACTGCGCCCTTGTATGACATTGTCTTAATCTGTACAAAAGACATAGAGCGTACTGCAATTCCCACGATCCCAATAAGGTCCTTGCATGCCTTGCTTGAGAAAAATTCCTCAAAGAGATTCCATAGCTGCCTGAGGGGTATCTCGAATTCGCGCCCCTTCTCATACATGTGGAGTGTGACGCATTTCCGTGGGTTGTATGATCCTGAATTTACAGGAACGATCTCGGAACTTTCGATTGCCAGTGCACGTGGGCAGACGGATGCCCACGCCTCGAAGATACAGCACTGGAGAGACTTTGAATTCCATGGCCTGACGACCCTCTGAGGGGCAAGCATGAGAGTGTGTTCCCAGATAACTTGAGAAGGGGTTGGAGCAGAACGGGCAAAGCGAATTGAACCAAAATGACTACAGGAAGCAACCAGGACACCAGGACAACCGAAAGATGTGGATTCAAAAGATGGAGAGATAGAGAAAAGAGATGCACTTTATCAGGGGTCGGACGGCAGTCATCGTCCTGGCCAGCGAAGTGGAATTAACAATCCCAGGCCAAACCCATTTGTACTGAAGTGAAGAAGCAAACTGATCGCCCAACTACCCCAAGAAGAAACTTGAAACTTGAAACTTGAAACTTGAAACTTCGGGGCCCTGGGCAAAAGAGTGAGAAGAAACCCCACTTAACCCCGTCAGCCGAATTGAGAAGAATATGATGCAGTCCCAGCTCATGATAAATGGCCTGGAGGC